ATAGTGGATGTTTCCTGAGCAGTAGCAGTTATAGGGGTGGGGTGTCACATGCATGCCTGCTTCAGCCAAGTGTTAGGGAATAGAACTTGCACAGACTAGCCCAGCATCAGTGTGGGATCAATGGCTCAGAAAATGATTATTGGATGTTTACTGCCTTGTAGGCTAAGAAAGCACCAGACGTCACTTCTCTGAGTTTAGATGACAAGTGAAAAAGAAGCTCAATCTATAGTCTGTCAATGCAATAGAGGAAAGTAATGCAAGGTAAATAGAATGTGATGGGTGAGTAGCTAGGGGTGCTGCCCGACAGAGGCTGACCTCAGATGGTCCCTCCTGGTGTAGCATGTGAAGGAAGATCTGACTGAAGTGAATCATCCCATTATGAAGGTAACTAGTAGCAAGTCACAGCTGCTGAGCCATGGTGTGCTTGTAGGTCAGCATGATGAGAGGATAAGGTAAGGGAAGGTTTATAAAATATATTTACTTTTCTTTCTATTGTACTCCATAGCTATGTGCTCACTCATTCCTCTAGAACATACTATAGAGGGTCATAGAGATATTGGAAGGAATGAGTTTTCTCTGCAAGTGAGATTGGTGGGAAATAGGTAAAAACCATCACAGGATGTGACTATTTTTGGACACCGACTTTCCTTAAAGATTAGGTTGTGATGGGTGCCGATGGCTCACACCTGTAATCCTAGCTATTCAGGAGTCTGAGATCTGAAGATTGCGGTTTAAAGCCAGCCTGAACAGGAGAGTCAATGACACTCTGATCTCCAATTAACCACCAGAAAACTGGAAATGGTGCTGTGGCTCAAGCAGTAGAGCGCTCACCTTTAGCTGAAGAGCACAGAGACAGCGCCCAAGCCCAGAGTTCAAGCCCCATGACCAACAACAACAAAAAAAAGGAAGCCCATATACTTAGGCTATGAGAAAAGAATGGTAAATCTGAGAACCTAGTAAGGATATGAGAGTGATCAGTTTTTCAGGATGGTACCATTTTGGATCAAGATGATGAGATGGTGATGAGATGAGATGGTTGGATTGTGATTCTATTTGGGATTAATTTCTATTACTTCTGTTGCATTAACTCTTGTAGTTCTTACAATTTCTATTCATAGTATTTACCAAAACATATAATTATTTAGTCCACTTTAGACAAAAGCTATTTGAGTAGAGCATCTTCTATGTCCCTGTTTTCTAATTGGGGGCATTTCAGATGCTCAATAAAAATATGTGGAGTGGGGATATGGTTGTGCATCCTTATAGACACATTTTGCATAGTTTTGGTTTTTTGGGGGGGTCTGGTCGAGAGGCCTGAACTCTGGGCCTGGGCACTATCCCTCAGCTCTTCAGCTCAAGGGTAGCACTCTACCACTTGAGCCACAGCACCACTTCCGGCTTTTTTCTTTTTGCTTATGTGGTGCTGAGGAATAGAACCCAGGGCCTCATGCATGCAAGGCAAGCACGCTACCACTGAGCCACCTTCCCAGCCCCATTTTGCATAGTTTTGGAGAACATTTCAAACCAAGAATGGACAATGGAATTCTTTGATAAATATTTTAGAGAAGCCAACAGCCCAGTAAGGATGAGAGTGAATCAGAAGTTACAACAAAGCCTGAACAAATATTAAAGTGTAGATCATAAACCTCTGAAAGGGAAATACTTAGTATATGCTAATTTGATATGAAAATATGTGTATTTTGCTACATAATATTGTGATGGTAATTAATGCTAATTTTTGGAATCCATGGAAAAGTTAGGAACTTATTTGCACTGTCAGTGAGGAATATTAGAATACTATCTCAGTTGTTTGGGATGGCTTCATAACTATTTCTGATAAGCCACTAGTTAAATATTTGTAAAAGGCTTTGTAGGTATCAGTTTTTATTATCTTCATTAATTTACACACAATGTACAAAAGCTTGTTCTATCACAGTTATAGAACAAAAAACATTTTAGGGAAGAAGTAAGAGTGGTTTTTCCCTCCACGCATGGAAGGTTGTTATCCATGAAAAGGAAAATCCCACATTGAACCTGGGTGTTAAACTCATTTATATATAAAATAAGTTATCTATAAAATAGATTCAAGTTTATTTTATAGCAGCAGTTATTAGTACTATTAACTAAGATATGATTCAAATTTGTGAATATACAATGTTTATTAACTCTTCCCTACTTTGATATTCCATGACTGGAATAATATAAAGGATATGGCTATACTAACTTCTAGGGTTTTGCCCCTCATCACAAATGCTCAAATGCTCAGATTGGAAGTAGTGTGTGACAGAAATTATCCTCAGGGCTGTCCAAGCTCATTTTCATTTTTTAAGGTTGAGTGAATCACTCTAGTAAGAAGACGGAAACATTGACTTAGAGTAAATGATATGACAAAACATAATTTCTAGAATAATCTACATGTTAATTGAGGATATCCACTTGGACTCATTGATTATCCATACCTCCTGTGATTTCCTATCATTTTCTGCCTAGAACATAGAGTCAAATCCATCCTCAGCATCTTCAGCCCTATATAGAAGTCATGTTGTTTTTTTCCTTAAATATCTTTGCTTTTTGTATTGCCTTGTTAAGGTGTCCACCAATCTCTAAACCTAATGACTTTTATGAAGGCTTTTCAGGGACATGAGCCTACTCTTTGATCTTACTGCCCTGACTTTAAGTCTTCTCCTTATCTCTTAGCCACTCCAGCAGCTGGAGAAGTTACCTTAAGATGCTGGTTTCTATGCAAGATTAGGCATGAGCTGTAGCCATTCGTGCCCAGGTGTAGCCATTATAAATAAAATCATGTTTTCCCATTATGCTTTGCCATTCATCTGTCTCACTCGTGTCACTGTCCTGGGCAGGGAAACATGTGACATGTTCATGTGTGGCAGGACTCATTTGTATATAAAAAAGGTTCTGTTCTGAAAAGTCTTCCTAAACATCACTTAGTCCCGAATATCATAAGAACCATTGTGATTGGCAGAAAATTGGCTCCTTTCTCTCTTTCTTATTATCTTCTCAGTCCCAGTGTAGCGACTAAAAACTCCACACTTCAACTTTGCTTCTTCCAGGGCACAATCCCATCACATGAGCCTTGTAGCAACTCTTCACCATGCACATTCTATACTTAACCCCCCCTTTCTTAGTACAGTACCCTATGCTATGTGGTTGTTCTCTGGGTGACGCTGGAAGAACTGGCACATGCAAATCTGTGAATACATTATACATATTTTTCTACCCTATCACAAAACATTAACATTTAGATTATAGCTTCGCCAGGGAGACCTACCAATGCTGGGAAATTTCAGGTCAATGTGTAGAAGAACAATATTTTTTAAACAAAGGGTTGTGCCATAATGTTCTCCAAGCCTAAAGAGTGGCAGCTGATTCATTAGAGGTAACACTGGGAATGGTACTAAGGTCCAATAGCTTGGTTTGTATACAAACAGGTGAACAGCATGCTTTGTGCTCCTCTAGGTTCATTTTCCTTTTTTTTACTTAGAGTAAGTTACAGTATGGTGTTTGAACAAATCAAAGACTCAAACCAAGTCATGGTAGCACTCTTCTTTGGTGATGGCTTCTTGGAAACAAAAGTGGAATTCTCAGGTACTGGAGGGTCACATTGGATTGACCTCGGTAGACATCAGCACAGAAGAGTCTTAGTGGGCCTTGCTTTGTTCTCTCTGTAACACAATCTCTCTGACTTAAGCCTGTTCTGGTGAGTGACAAGTTCTGAAAACTCTTGGTGTTTTGATGAAAAGAACCCTGTGGATTGTTTTAGATCTGTATATTAACAAAAATAACCTGGCTAGGTTATTTCTTAGAAAGAGTAAGAAGGACATTATCCCCTGAAAATGTGTAAAAACAACTCTGTTGGTAACACATGCAAGTGTGTGCACACACACACACACACACACACACTTATTTTCTCTCTATTTTCATCTAGAATTTGTAGTTTGCTGTCTTTTATCTTTAGTGTACATGAATACGTGAAAACACACAACACAGAGACACACAGTCTGATAGAGTGATAATCTCTCCTAATGTGCTTCTATTTAAAGCAACAAACAGATGGAGGGTTTATGAGCAAAGCTGGTAAAAGTAAAAGCAAATGATTGCAATAGTTGTACTTTTTAATAGGATTCCCCACATTCTAAGACATTATTCCCCAAGGAACAAATTGTTCTATAAAATTATGTTACTTAGAAGAGAGATCGTCACCCTGACATTGCTGAGAACTCCAGAGTGCGTGTATCGTATTGTGGGGATCATTCTGCTGAGAGAGAGGAGATGGCGATGTCAGGCACTATGGTCCCTAAAGAACAAGGTCAGAAGGGCTGGGAAGTTGGCTCAGTGGTAGAGTGCTTGCCTTGCATGCCTGAGGCCCTGGGTTCGATTTCTCAGCACCACATAAGCAAAAAAAAAAAAAAAGAACAAGGTCAGAAGGACAGAAGAAAGGAGGAAAAAGGAGGGTAAAGGTAGGAAACATGCCTCAGCTCCAACTGAATGTATTATCTTCTATTTTCCTAGATTTGTGAAATTCCTACAGATTTAAGATAAACCTGAGACCTGGCTTCCTGCCCGCCAATTCCGACAAAAGTGTCTGTTTTATGGCAGATCTTGCTTAACAAACAGTGGAGTTGTAAACAACCCAGCAATAATTCATTATCATTATCCTTGCTTAAGAGAATCCAAACTCACTCTAATTTTATCAATAAGATGAATATACCACTGTGATGGCCTTTACGTGAATTATAATTAAAGCTAATCTTCATTAAACTTATTATACCATTGTGGAAGCAGATAAACAAGCCAAAGAGAGGCAAACAATGCAGTCAATAACTTGCTCCAAATATGTATGCATATTTTTTTTGTTTTCAAAGCTCATATTGAGAGAGACATTCCTTCACACGATACAAATGGATTTGACATTAAGAAAAGTAAACAAGAAAGAAAAATAAAGATGGAAAAATCCTGTGGTCAGTTCACAAGTGCTTTTTTATTGTTTGAGGCAGGGTTAAAGCCTTTTATAAAGACAAGGATATATGGGCCGCTAGATTGGATATGACATCGGCCTGGTCTAGCTGCCCTTGTGCTGAGCTCTGCTGCCTATTAGATGCCACGGACAAAACAGGCACTGAAACTTCCCAACAAAGAGCCAGGGTGGGTCCTGACACAGCTAATTTCAAGCATTATCCTAGAGCTGATTTTTGTCGGTGAAATACTGCACAGGTATCCACTCTCGTTGTGAGTGGGTTGGAGAGATGGACACTGTTGGATAATCCCTGATTATTAGTGGTTTTGAGGATTTTAATGTGAATGTGTCTGAAGAGCTGATTAATGGAGGTTGCAGGACCTGTGCATGGAACTCCTGGCAGCCCTGATAGATGTCATTCAGGGTCGTGCTGACTGAGTAGGCTAGAGGCTGTGGGACCTGGCTCCAAGTAGCTCAGGTGTGCAGAGTGCTCACAGACTTTGACAACAACCAGTTTCTGGCCATTCCCTTAACTGTTCTTGAAGGGAATTTCTTCAGGCTTGGCAGTCCTAATTCTAGGCAACCCAGAACAATGAACACCTGGCCTAAATACAGGACTCATGACACAAACAGATAGATGCTTTGTGTTAAAGGCAAGCACACAGCCTTTCAAATATCTTGCAGAGAGACTTGCTTTGTGCACCAGTTAAGTTAAATGCAGTGAGAGTCACGCAACTAGTGCGAGGGTGTAGTAGTCTTTTTTTGGTGATGTTTGTGCTAAAAATCCAAAGAAAATGATGTACCAATGTTTTGGAAGCTATGGATCTGATTTCTGAGAGGTCCGGAGAAGAAAGAGGAAATTTGGATTTGATTGGATGGGTATTTTCTACAGGCTTCATTTTGTGCTTCAACCTCCAGAGCCCTCGCACTCTATCTTTCGTCACCTCACTACTTGAAAATTGCACCCAAATAAGCCACCCCCAAGTGTAACTGTGGCTATAGGCAGAGCAGGCAAGGGTGTGTGCTTTAACACTGAGTAAGGTTGCATGGTGCAAACCAAATCCTGAGTCGTGAGAGGCAGCTTGCCCCGCATCGTGTTCAGGGCAGGTAGATTTGGAAGTGGATCGAAGAGGATAATGCCTGGGCTTTTGCAGGGAGGGATTTAGGTGAAGTGAGTCTACAGTGGGGATTGTAAAAACACGAAGCCAGCCATAAATGTATGAGCTAGTTGGGAAGTTACCCCTTCTTTTCTCTGTAAATCTACAAAGCATCAAAATACTGAAGGATGGAGGAGACTGGTGCATGTGCAGAAGGGGACCTTGGGAAAGTGTCCTTCCTTTATACTCTGGCCATCCCACTAAAAATAAACCCACAGCACAGGGACAGCAGAGGAATCCTGGCTCAGTCAGGCTAGCTGCAGGCAGCCCCCCTGCTCGCCCCTTCACAAGGCTGGAGTCACTGAGCATGCCCAGTAAGGCCCCAGGTGTGACCTCTGCTCTCCTGTAAGCAGTGGAGGGACCAGGCAATCGATCATGGTGTTCATGCTGTCAGCCCCGGTGCTTAGACGACGCTGTCTGTCACCCCAGTGGATGAGCCCTGCTTAAGGGCAATCATGTCAATCTCTCTGTGACCACTCAGTCTAAAGCAGCAGGATGATCTTGACAGGCCTGGCAAAGTCAGCACAAGGTATAGAAAGCTGAAATTGTAGCCTTCCCACAGAGATGCAATGTGGACTGTTGTTTTTCTTTAGCTCTTCCTTTATTTTTGCTTTCCCCTTAATTTTCATGATAGGGGCTGAGGCTTACAGAACTGGGCTTCACAGCTGGTCATCACGGATAAACCTGTTGCCCTCTGAGTTCTTCCCATAATAAACATAGCGGTACTTGCCCAGGACACCTGGAAAAGAGAAACATTGTTACAGGTGGCACAGTCAGTGTATTGCTGAAATGTAGGTGCTGTAAAACAGATCCAGTGGGGGCAAAAGACAACGACTCTACATCTGTGTGTGTGTGTGTGTGTGTGTGTGTGTGTGTACAGTTACTAGGACTTGAATTCAGAAACTCAGTCTTGTTTAGCTCCTTTGCTCCAGAATCAAAGATGTCTCCGTCCCAAATAAAAGATGTAGAATCATCTTCCCAGAGTGTGAGTGTTTTGTTGAAGTTGTGAGTGGACCTTCTTAACTCCTAGAGAGAATCTTGTAGAGCCTGGAGGGTATCAAGCACGTATGAATGAAACAAGAGCTTCTGACACCAGAAGCCCTCCTCTTACAGAGCTTCCGGAGAGCACTTGTCCTGCTTTGATACATTGGACTTGTATCTTCAGTTTGGCTTTATGTCATTTGTCTGCAGAAAGCTTTCCTCTCATTTATTTATTTTTATACATTTTTATTGTAAAAATACTGTACAGAGGGGTTACAATTATATGAGCAAGGTAATGAGTACATTTCCTATCAAGCATTGTTACCTCCTCCTTTGTTTTCCCCCATCATCCCTTCCCTCCCACCTCCACAACTACACTCCTCACCCTCCACCAGGGTGGCCCTCCCTCCCCCACCCTCACCCCTACCCCACCCCCCGCCTAAATTGTAAAGTTCGTTTTTCAACATACTGTCTTGTGCATCTCATTGTTACAATTGGTCAACCTGTATCCCTATTTAAGCAAGAAAAGTGTATATACAAGATGCAAGGCACCAACATCAAATACAGTGAAAACAGGGGTTATACCGTGGGGGGAGGAACATACAAAGAAACAAAAAAATCACACAGTCTATTAGAAATACATTAGAAACAATAGCAAGAAAGAAAAAAACACTTGTGTCCTTATCTTGGGGTTCATTTCGCTTAACTTTCCTCTCATTTAAAAAGAGCTTTTATGATTTTTTTGCATGTTTATTATTAAGTAGTTGTGTAAAGGGGTGACAAGTCCATAAATCAGGTTATGAGTTACAAGGCTTCTCGGTGAATGCCACCCTTCTTCCCCCCATCCGTGGTTTCTTTGTTCACACAATGTACGTTAAATATAATGACTGCATGCGTTCACCCTTCCTCCATTCCTGTACCACTCCCCAAAAAATGTTTCTACTTCTTGGTATTCATTTTGATAAACAGTACTTTAGCTGTTCTGGAATCATGCCTTTGGATTCCACATACACACACACACACACCCCAAGTATACCATTATACCATCCTTTACTGTTTGTAAGTAAATGCACAGAGCCCTGTATATGCCTTGCATTTTAGATCTAGCTTCCACATATGCAAGTAAACATGTGCTGTTTGTCACTTTTGTGATTCTTAATGGTGTAAGCACCTCCTAGATTAGGGTCAAACTTTTAAATCAACTCATTTTTTTTAAAATTCTAAATACTCAACAAGAAATCACCTGCCATGGTTCTGGTGAAATCTTGTGAGATGATTAAGGAAAAGAAAATCAAAATTTTCTAAGAAAATATGTATAACTTCATTTTGCTTTTGTCACCTTTTCTTTTTCGAAGAAAAAAAGCTACCTCCATTTAGAAGATCTAACAAAATACTGTCACGCACAGTTGTCTCAGCACTAATGAGACCTCTGAAATGTTCACAACTAGGGGGGAAAAAAACCCAAAGGAGATGCCCAGAACAGAGAAATTCATGAGCCACAAACCTGCCTATGAAAACAGTTGCATATATGCATGTTTTTTGAGGGGGTGAGGTGGGGAAGGGGGGTAGTGTAAAGTCAACAAGCACCATAACACAATTCTTCATTAATCTGAGACAAATTAGACTTGAAATTAGCCAGGGCCTTCCCCTCTGACTTTGTGAGTTGTAAATATTTTTGTGACTATAAAAGAGATGCTTCTCTATTACAGAGCTCTCAGCTTTGTTCTTGAAAGATTCAAGTGACTCATTAAACCTTTTAAGAAGTACAGGACAGATGTTCCCTAGCTTGGGACAAATTTGGATGTTGCGGGGGGGGGGATGTCTCAGGACATTTTAGGGCTGGAAGAGGGATGGGGTGACATGGTGGCATGGTGGGTTCTCGGTACTTCCTGCGTGTTCCCACAAACAACTTTCCCATGGATCATTCTTCCCAAGTGTTCTTGCTTTACCCTTGGCTTCTTATCCCGTTTCTGGTTTTTAATGTTGGTCTGCTGCCTGGAAATACTGAGCTTGGATGAAACCTCACTGAGACGTTCTCAAAGCTTAAGTTATTCTCTTAGCTCTTGGCACTTGAGCTGGTCCCTTTATTGTGCTACATTATGTGTTGTTTGGTATTGTGCTAATATGCCAGGATTCTAGGGGTCTGAGCTGGTCAGGCTATGGCAATCTCTATGGGCCTGGGTAGGAATACCTCACGGGAGTGGGAACATTTGCAGGGGGGCTGCCTTACATCTAACTGATCTAAAGAAATGCTCAATAGTCCAGAAAGATGGGGCCAGAGAGCACTGATTTCATTTTAAGGCAACAGGCTAAAATGAATTAAATTTTTTTATTGTCTTTAAGTAGTTTTACAAAGAAGTTTCAATTCAACATATCAACTTATGAGTACAATGCATCGTTAGCATTATGATTTTTATGAAGAGTTATGGATATTGTAAATAGTCTTTCTCTTGAGCAAAAGTATAACAGGCAGGTGTGTGTGTGCATGCGTGCGTGCGTGCGTGTGCACAGTAGCCCCTCCCCCATCATGGCCACACTCTTCTCCAGTAAACTCTCCATGCATCCACACATGAAATTTCTTTTCTCTCCCCTCTCTCCATGGTGAACTTCCACTCTGGATTTTTCCCAGATGGGAACAGAACTGCTGGAATGTGAGCTGGGATGTGCTCTGAGCCACATTCCCAGACCTTCTTTCTGGTTGGCATTGATAAAAGTCCTTTTTATGTCCTGCCCTGTTTCTTTGGGCTCAGAAGCAAGAATGTTTATAGACATCCTGGTGAGAGAGGGCTGTTTGATGGATGCAAGAGACTGTGGCTGGGTGTCAGTGCTTGGAAAATGAGGCAAGGACATGAGGTATTAATATTGTCAATGATCTCTTGACGGGAAAAGAGATACCGCACTCACTGTCAGATTTAAATAGACATCAAGTGCATTAATGACAGAAGGGCAGACTTCAAACAAAGGGGCTGTGTGCTGGGGAGCTGAGTTGGTCTCTGGGCTGGCAATAACCCGATCTGAAAAGACACTGTCAGGACTAGAGACAGGCCCAGGATTGTGTGTAGTGACAGAAAACAGAGATACTGACAAGAGATACCAGTGCCATATTATGCCAAGGACACTGTAACACTGCCTTCCTCTCTAACTCAAGCTGACACCACTCCCCATCAGGCAGGTCTTCTCCTCCTGTTCCTGTAGAACCACAACTTTCTATCTCTCCGCCTTCCTCTCTACAACTCACTGCAGCTGAGAAGTTCCCAGCACCCCCTTCCTCTGTAAGAATAGTGGGGTCAAGGCCTTAAGATAACTTCAGTCGATTTACGTTTGGACTCCACAGGAAGGCACTCCCTCGTCCTCCAATGATAGCCTGGTGACCTGAGGTGAGGGCCACTGTGTGAAGAGCTGTCACCTTGAATAAAATCCATAAAGGGGAGGCACTCAGTGGTAAGGATCGCCTGGTAGGCAAAAATGAAACCCAGCTGCTAGCACTAGCCTGGGAAGAAAGGTACTTTGGCTAGTGACACTGGAAATTGGCTGAACTTCTTTTGCACTGGAGCCATCTACGGCTTAAATGAAGCCAACTGCGCCTCTCCTGAGGCTCCTACCTATGAGTGCGCTCATTGGCAATACGATTACTCCCAGGATGTTACTTTTGCGCTCAAAAATAAATAAGAAAACAAACAAGGGGCAAAAGGCAAACAAGCCAGGCAGCAGAGTCCTGTGGATGGCTGTAGACTTTTTTATTTATCATGAGGGTTATCTGTGAAATAATAGGCTCTGTCCATAAATTAAGGGAGGTGGTATTATGGGCTGCTTTCCCTGCTGTCTTCCTCCTCCATGACAACTGCCAGACTTGTGAAAATCACAGAGGGAATGGGGTTTGTTTGCAAGGAGTGTTTGCCCAGGGAGGGGATCTCGGGAACCACTGGTTGTGACTCAGTAGGCCATGTTTTTGTGCGCACATCTGCCTTGCATTCACTTGTTTGTATCTCCTCACAACTGGAGGGGGAACAATCCATTTAATGGCAGATGTAGTGTTTTTAATTAAAATATCTGGCTTTGGCCATAATAAGTGAAGCGGGCTTACCATGTATCAGGCAGACGTGCTGATGTCTTGTGTGGAGCTTTCTTTGCTGGGGCCCTGAAAAATGACAGCGTGCCGTCCCCTGGGGAATCTTCTCCTGCCAAATGAGACTCCTAATTTTTCTTAAGTAGCCAGCTTTCCCATCACCATAAGCTCTTAAAGCTATAATTATGAAAAAAATGTATTGGGAAGAATCTGTTTTAAAGAGGCCCTTTATCTTTTCAATGTTCCCCCCCTCTGGAATGGATGTTCTAATTACGCATGGTAAGTTATGGCCTTGGGGCTGCCTAACGGGTGAGAATCTCAGCCTCTTCTCTTGGATGCAAGGTAGTGTTGGCGGGCTGGCTGGTGGGAGGGCGGTTCCAGGATGTAGCTAGGAGTAGGAGGAAGCTCTCAGTGGCCACAGCAAGGGAATTTTTGTGGACCCTGTATGAGTGCAGCCTGGCCTCCATGATGTCCTCATGTCACCCACCCCTCTGTGTGGCTATTGTCTATTTAATAGGGGATGGGTAAGCTGTTTTAAAATCCAGCCTTGATGTAACCAGATACCCATCCTTTGATCCATGCTGGACTGTTTGTCTTTAATAGTTTCCACTTTAATTATGAAGTAGGTGATTTAGTAATTTTATTTATTTTTATGTCATTACTGAAGCTTGAACCACAGGCTTGGGTGTTGT